ATTTATTTCTGTCTGTTATTTTTTTCATGTGTTACGAAATATTTACATTTACTCGAATTAAAACTCAGCCGACGACTTCCTACCAATCATGATCATAAATTATCGGATAACACCATTTATTCAAAAAATTGTGCCGAATAATGTACATGTATACATATCCGGATTAAATATATCTGAATATAAAAATATATATCCGGATTTACAGCTGTCCTCATAAATTCTGAGACAAATTAAAAATTTGCTCCTTATCCAAGGTCTTTTCAGTTTCTTCCTGTAAATTATCTAACTTTCCGGAAACTATATCACTATCTTTGGGCCTTCAGTCCGGAAGCAGCGATGTAATTTCCGGAGTGCTGGATTATTTATAGGACAAACCGAAAGATTTCGGGTGAAGAGCAAAATTTTAAATTTGTCCCAAAATTTATGGGAACAACTGTAATAAAATTTTGAGATTTGGGGAGAAATTTATCAACCACGACCTAATTCGACCCTAAATTTTGAACTATCTGCTGAATTTTGGTTGCTACACCAATCTATCCTATTTTGAACTAACGATAATGAGGCGTACATAGGGATGTGAAAAGTTCGGTCCGATTCCAACTCGACTCCAGAAGTCAAGTCTTAATTTGTACTCGGTCCCAAGCAGACTTGGACAAAAACTCATCCTGTCATATGAAATACGCGCGTGACACCACATTACAGTCAAACCCCTCTATAGTCACACCTTCGGGATACAAAAAACTGTGATTGTAAAGAAGTGTGACTAATATAGAGGTATTTTCTATATAGTTATAAATAATTGGTAAAAATAAATTTGTAATTATACCAATTTTGTGACTATAGAGGAGGTGACTATAGAGGGGTTTGACTGTATTTATGTAATACAAGGTTCAAACTTAACTTTGAATCTTGTATTACAGTATTAAATAAATTTGGTGTCACAGATTTCACATAACAGGATGAGTTTTTGTTTTGCGATCACGTGATATCGACAAAGGCTAGAATATACCAAGGAAATTTTTTTCTTAGGGCATGAAAAGCGGTTTCTTAAGCAATTTGTTGTGTTAAAAGAGATTTTTTGAAAATGAACGTTTGTTTTGGATCTTCCTGATCGTGTTACGTTACACTAATGCATGATTTGTTATTGGATAATTTTTACGTGATCGCAAAAATTTTGTTACAGTCGATACTGTCTAATTGCATATACTCTCTAACTCACAAACATGGTTCTTATAACTTAAATGCATATACTGTCTATATGCATGAAAAAGTCTCTGACGGATGGCATGCAATTAGACAGTATCGACTGTAGTATTTTGTTGGCGATCCTGGGGAAGTTAGATTTTGTCCCAAATCTGAGTACAATTAAGACTTGACTTCTTGGGACCGGACCGAACTTTTTACACCTAGGCGTACATCAGTTTTGTGTAATATCGCGTACAGTATATTAATTTTCTTTTGACAAATAAAATCGCACTGTTTTTTTTTTTTTTTTGATAATTTTGATTTTATTTGATTTTATGATGTACGCAACGTTCGTACATATATGTAACGATAAATTTACAAATGGGTTATCTGAATTGTACAGAAATTTAAAATGGGTTGCGTTTATGGGAAAAAATGGGTTAGGCGTATCGGTATGGGAAAATGGGTTAGACACATTGTTATTATACTGTAGATCGGAGTGCCAATAATTTTTTTTAGGGGTTTAATCTTAAAAATCTAATCTTTGAGGGCATTGTTAACTTCATTGGATACTATACAGTCGCCTCAAAAGTTAACACGGTTACACGAAAAACATAACAAATTTATGTTAACTATGTGGTGAAAAGTAACTGGACAGTGACCTTTTTTTAATCGCTGATATACTGCATATCGTTATTGATTTTCACTTAACGCTTATACCAATATTACTAGACATAATAAATAATTATAGAAATTCAATGTTGCAGGTTTCGCATACCAATTTCGTACACCACTTATCAATAACGTACCCACCCCAAGTAATAAATATCAATTAGTAAATATTTAAAAGTAGGTCCGTTCTTGATAGGGTTGTACGAAATTGGTATGCGAAACCTGTAACGGAGATAGTAAAAAAGGTCACTGTCCAGTTACTTTTCACCAATCCGGTATACAACAACTCTCGATACGTATAAGAAACCTTCAATTTTACAAGTTCCAATTGAAAATTTTACAAGAAAAGTCTTTGATATTAGAAAGTCTTGTATAAGAAAGATTTTGGCTGGACCCGGTGACTTTTTTATATCAAGAGTCAGATGTATTTATTGTCGCAGATTATAATGAAATTAGATTAAAATAAAATTAGATTAAAATAAAATTAGATTAAAATGAAATTAGATTAAAATGAAATTAGATTAAAATGAAATTAGGGGTTTCTATTTGACCTCCTAAAACCCACTTATACTTGTTTATTATAAAACCTACTATTAAACCCTAATCCTAACCCTAAAAAAATGCTAAAATAAGTACACCCCAAAAATTCGTAATTTTTGGTGTCTTGCCTATTTTTACACTCCTAATTTCATTTTAATCTGATTTCATTTTAATCTGTCACATTTATTAATATTTTATCATTTGATTTGTATATTATTTTTGTGTAACTGTGTTAAACTTTTGGAGGCGACTTTACATAAACTTTGATAAAAGATGGATTGATTATTTTGTGTTGGGATAACCGTGTCCAGTCATAGTTTTTGACTATTTGATAAAAATTAGGGTAAGGGTTAAAGGTTAGGAGATATATCATAGTAAAATTGCCCTCCAAACATTTTTTATTAATGCTCCGAGACAGGTTTAGACACTCATTTCTTTTATTTTTGCGGTTTTCACTTTTTTTTTCTGTTTTTGTCTCTTCGGTTGATCCGTGTCGATCAAAATAACTTTATTGGTTTTGTTGGACACGGCTTTAGACGACCCCTAAATTTAGCTCTAAACATGTCTATATACTATAATTTCCCAAAATGTGATAAAAGATGACCCCACCGGTTATGCAGTAATATATTCACAACATGGCTGATCAGCCAAACTATAAGTTGGTGTTACCCCGTTGGTTACAATAAAGATAAGATATAGTATGTGATAATTAATCATACATAATTATGTTGCAGTGATTGCAGTAGCTGTTCTAATCATAACGATGAAATCATTAAATTGTAGGAGGTTCATTTGTTGCCCATTAAGTCATTAAAACATCATTTACACTAACTAGATAATGGATAGTATGTTTGGGTAATTTTAGAAAACATGAGTTGAGTTAAACTAACGAGTTATTAAATACGTATCCATATCTGTTTCGTTAAATGTGACAGTTTATCTTGGACATTTATGTAACTGTGCAACAATCATTCAGGAAATGTTTGGCACCTACCGATAGATTGTACACTTTGAGTACCTTAATAGTTATATTTAAAATCTTAATCTTGTGGATAACCTGTAAGGTACTCTTTCATAATCTGCTGTGTACCTTGCTGGTTATGAAATACACTGAAGTCCAAACGAATCAATCCACCCTTCCACTCTTCTTCCTTAAGCTCGCGAGTTCAAAAAAAAAAAAAAATAAAAAAAAAAAAGGGAAGAAATGATGTATAAGATCCAATATCTTTACTATGCTGTCGTTTCTGTAATTATTCTTAGCACTGTTTGTGCTCAAGATGGTAAGTTATCCAGTGCATTTAAGAAAAAATTTAAGAAAAAATTTAAGAAAAAATTAAAGCAGTTTATTCATTTCTTTCAAATAAATAGCAGACAATACCAGCACCAACTCCACTACTTCAAAGGACTCTACTCAACCTAGCGCTCCCCCATGTTTCTCTAAACCCGATACTTCTTCTTATAATTATGGACTTCACTTGGCCTCCCTTTTTGTAATTCTTGTAACAAGCTCTCTTGGTAAAAGAAAATAATAATAACAATAAACCATTTAATTAGCTGTGTCTCTAAGTTCATAAATATATATATAAACAATAGGTACATTCACTCCTGTCCTCTCAAAGAAATTTCCTAGATTTAGGCTTCCAAGCGTAGTATTTTTCAGTAAATATAATTTTATTCTCTTAATTATTATTATCATTAATTTACCAGATAAATTTTACCAGTTTTTTTTAATGAATAAACAGCTGCCAAACATTTTGGGAGCGGTGTGATTCTTGCCACAGCTTTCGGTAATCAACCTTTTATTTATCTGAATAAAAAGAATTTAAATATAATAAATTAGTTTATTGTTTATATATTAGTACATATGCTTCCAACGGCATTTGCGAATTTGAACAATCCATGCCTTCGGGCGCCTTGGTCAGCTTACGGTGCTTGGCCAGGTGCAATCGCAATGATGGCAGCATTATTCGTCTTTTTTACTGAATACATCGCGTTAAAAGTGGCCGCCAAGATGGGTGATGTGAATAAAGAAGAAACTCATGAGGACTCCGAAAAACTGGATGCTAATGAACATCTTCATCATCATGCTCAGACTGTTTTAAGCTCCCGTGCTCAAATAATTGGTATCGTTATTTTAGAGTGTGGTATATGTTTTCATTCAGTAATTATCGGAATGGCCTTATCCGTTGCGGGTGACGAATTTATTTCATTATTTGTCGCATTAATATTTCATCAAGTAAATATTATTTAAACAATTACATTAAAAATTATTAAAATTATAATTTCATTATATTAATTATGCTAACGACTCAATATATCAATAAAAATTAACTCAGACATTTGAAGGCCTTGGGCTCGGTTCTCGTATTGCTGAGCTCTCCTTCCCCCCGAAAAGTTTTGAACCATGGTTGATGTCATTGGCTTACGGAACTACAACTCCGATAGGCATTCTTATAGGCTTTTTTGTTCATGAATCCTACAATCCTAATTCTGAAACCGCGCTTATCGTACAAGGAGTTTTTGATTCAGTCTCTGCTGGAATTCTTTTATATGCCGCTTTGGTTGAACTTATTGCCAATGACTTCATTTATGACCAGGATTTTCAAAATAAAACTCCTAGAAACAGTCAAATTGCCGCCTTCTCCTGTTTAATCGTTGGTGCTGGTATTATGGCTGCGATTGGTAAGTACATCTACCATTAGTGTGGTTTTTCAACAATTTTTTTTTTCTTTAATAGTGATAAAAACAGAGCCATTGTTTAAAAGCAAAAACTTACCAAACACTTTTTTTCATTATCAGGCGTTTGGGCGTGATCATTCAATTCTATATGCTTCAATTCTAAATTAATTTAAATCATAATTTCATAATTTATCCCCACCGTTTTTAAACAAAAAAAAAAAAAAGGAAAAAAAAAAAAAAACACAAAAAAAAAAGATATATTTATATGAACAACTCCGGAGATGCAAATCGGTTTATCGGCTCTGTTTATTTTGTTTTTATTATATAGATGCAGACTTATTTACGTCATTAGTTACGGCTTAATTGCGTTTTATTTTATAAACCGATGTTTTATTTAGGAGTAACTAGGTGATGTCATAAGTCTGCATCTATAATATACAAGCCGGTCGAGCCGTTCTGCATCTATACTTTTAATTATCCCTTCGCACGAATTATTAACATCGCCCTTCGCGCCAGTCAATTATATAACGAGCAACCTTCATTTTTATTTAAGGTACTAAAATTAAGCAGAATTTATTCATGTTTATCGGGCCCTTTAACAAAACAATATGATTTTTACTACAAATAAATAAAATAACATGAATTTATGAGATTAACGAGGCCTGTCTTCTATAAACTTTATATTTATTCTATAAAATCTCGCTACACAATTTAGCTATTATGCGAAATCCCAAATCGCATAGTAAAATTATGGACAGATTTCTTCACGTTATCTTGATGAATACTTTCTGTTGATTCAACTACGGACAATAAAATACAATAAGTCTTGCCTAATTTTTATTAAAGTTCTGATTCTCTGTTACCCATTCACACTCAGTGTAAAAATTTTCGGTATATTGATTCATTGCATTACTAAAAAAAACTTATCTGTTATAGTGTAAAAAAAAGTGAAAAAGTATACAGTATAGTGCTGCACACAGTATCTCCGGTCTTTTTCAAAAATTGTATAATACCTATTGTGCTGTGCGAGAAGGGATACCGATACTGTACAGTACTTTTCACTGACACGTTATATAACATCCAATCGGATTTGCACGTCTGAAATCTGTGACAGGTTATGTCGATCATTGCTGATTTTGGGGGTCGTTTAAAGCCTGGCACCTTACGAAAGTACCCGATATATAACCCGGATCAGTCCGAACAAAACAAAGCGAA